ATCACATATTCCAACATTTACATAAAATAGTTTCAATATATATATTTAAACATTCACATAATATGTGAATCTGTTTAAAAATATGGTTGCCTCGATCGAAAGTACACCAGTCGCATCACACAATCGTGGCGCAGAATGAAAGCTGACAAGACGAGAACGGGCAAATTTATTCTACTCTTTTATTTTGGTTTTTAGATTACATAATAGGAGCAGTTCACAAATAAGGGTGTGGGATTCCTATGGTACTGGTTAATTTCTGAAGTAGTAGATGGAGAGTCGAATGAATACCAGCAACGTTGCGCGGCTCGGCTCCGCTCGATTTGCTTGCCTCGCCTCGCCGCGCAACGCTGCCTGCATTCATTCGACTCTCCATCTACTACTGAGGCGCGCCGCACGCGTTCGCAAAGTTAAGCCTTCTGATGTCGCGCTCGGACGCACGCAAAGTAAGTCTTCTGATGTCGCACTCGGGCGCACGCGCTCCATTTGAACGGCAGCAACGTGTCGCGGCGAGGCGAAGCGACCAACGCGAGCTGAGCCGAGCCGCGCAACATGCGGTTCATTACAATGTTCAGTAGACACGAGTTCTTTTTGCATTCCACGCGCCAGACACGAGTATAACGCAGCGTGCTTCCATACGAAGGGTTATTAAATTAAAGTTAATCATGAATAAAATAAAGCCATTGCAATTTTTCCGGCTGTGTCTAAATATCTTCTGACAGAATAGTCCTCAGTTCTAATAGAGCCTCTCGTGGAATACCATTTTCTTTTCAATTATTCTGGAAAATAAAGTAAGAAAAATATTAGAAGTAGAGAATAACAGACGGCAGTGGTGTGGAAGATTCAAGAGGCTAACCCGTACCCCCGGGCAATCGGAAATTGTGCTTAGTAATAAGTAAAGCACTGGATAAACGGTAAATAGAAATCATAACATAAAGTAGATAGATACAAAAGTCCATTTTGCAATTTTGAATTTTGTCTAATAGACTAAAAAATGCACCCTTTACATGCTGAGAGTGCGTCGCAAACTCTCTTTTTGAACTACAAA